GAGGAGGAGGGGTGTTGCCCCCCCCCCCGGTGGCGTTGGGGGGCATCGTCCCCCCTTTGAGGAGGCACACCTCCTCCTCACAGCCCTTTTTGTTTTGGGGGCGGGGGGGGGGTGCTCAGCCCTCGCCCCTTCATGGGCGGCCGCGCCGCAGCCTCGCCCGCGGCGGGGGGTGGCAGCAGCATTTCGCGCAAATTCCTGCCTGGGCTTATTTACGGGGAGGGGTGGTGCCGACGTTACTACCCCCATCAGCCGCGGTGCAAAGGGTTAACGCCACCGAGAGAGTTATTACCCCTCCGGGGAGGCGGTGGGAAGCCGCCTGTGAGCGGACGGGTGGCTGCGGTGCTGCAGCAGGCGGGGATGGATGCTGGAAGTTTACCTGAGGTGATCTAGAGCAGGCTGGCTCGGGCCTTTTGTGTGCGAGTGCGTGCGAGCTGGTAACAGGTTACCTACGAGCCTGAGGTTCAGGAGGTGAGCCCCGCTATCCTGTGAATAATCATCCAAAGGAGAGCTAATGGAAACTGGTTATGGCTTTCAGGCAATTAGCACATCAAACAAAAACCCAGAGCAGCCTTCAGAATGTTTATTGAGAAGTTGAAAAGCAGACTCCTTTGTATTATTACAAATTGTTTGAATAGGATCCTGATTTCCCTTTGTTGAGTGGCACGCTTGGAAAAAAAAAAAACCCCTCCATTTTCAGTGGAGCAACTTTGGATGTTTGTTATGTTGGGAGATCTTATTTTCAAATGTGTTTCAACTTCTGGCTTAATTCATAGAGATTGTTAATTGGACGGATATGTGAGGAGTATAGCAAGTACAACTTTCACTCTCAGTTAAACAGTTCTCTTTTATGTTTAATTTTGTTCTCTTCCACATAGTCCCATCTGTTTCTCAGCTAAAATTTCTCAGCCGTTTCAACTAGAAAGGCAAATTCTGTAGACTGACACTCATTTGCACTTCTCTGGAGAGGGGTAGTAACTGGCAACAGTAGCACAATTTAAAGGGTAATTATGGAATCGATAACGTGAAGCTGCAGAACAGCCTGGCTCAGTGGATGTGAATGCTTGCGTGAACGCTGTGGGAAGTATCCCAGATAAAGCAGGCCTGCAAGCACCCTCCTATGTGAGCTTGGGATTTAGGCAGACTGTCTCCACGTAGTGCTCTTCCACTGTAGGAGAGATTGCTGTGCTTTGAGTGAAACACACCTTGCCTTTCTTTCTTATTCCTTAATACGACATGAAAGAACAGACGGCTGTGTACCTTCATTTTTAGTGCAGGAGCGAGACAGAGCCAGTGTAGATAAACCCTAAAGCGCAGAACGGGGAAAAAAATGGCCTGCCAAGAGAACTTGCAGAGGAAGGTAACCTAAAGAAATCTTGTAGTAAAAGAGGTGAAGCAATTAATTAGATGAGTTTGTCCCTGAGAATTGATGTGTGGGATGGCAGCTGAAGGTATTTTACTATA